ATCATTCCTAATTACTACAAACTCAGCATGTCACAAAAGAGTTAAGATAATTTCAAGACACTGACATCTACTCAATCACACAAGAGTACTTTTACATTCATTATTTACAAAATACATTTAAAGATTTGTTTGCCTTTGTTTTAATTATTTATACAATTTAACAACGACAGTAAAACTCTCGTTTAGGAAAAGTATCTCCATTGCCTTGTTTTTTACATGAAACATTTTTATAGAGATCATCTTCCAGAATAACAATCGAAAAGTCATAGCTGTCGCTTGTTATTTATTAAAAAATTATTAACAAAAAAAGTTTAAACTGTTAATATTACTAAAACAGACTTCTAATTATTGACACTTAAATCTTGCGTCTTACTAAATTGATGAGTCGAGTAAATACACTACTAAAAGAAATCCTGAAAAAATGTGCAAGATTTGGGATTAAATATATAATAAAATACATAAAGAAATATTTTAGTGATAAATCGTTTTAAAAACAACAAACCTTGCGTAGAGACCTTTGCTAACATTTTCAGAATCTGTTATTTTAGTATAAAATACATTATAATGAAGTGTTATTGTTATAATTCTAATGTATATATTGACGGATTTAATTAGTCCATATTCAATTTACACTCAATACGCAACATGAAGCTCTGTAAATTCTTAAATTTGATTTACCACGAAAATAGTCTATTTAACTATTCATATGGTCGTAATGTAATTAGACGGTCAATAATTTGCCCGTGGTGTAGTCAATGTTTATTAGAGTAACATCAATCTGAATTTTGAAATTGTTCCGTCTCCATGAGTCTCGCCTCCTCATCGGCTTCAGTTGTCAAATTGCCCCCAAAGAACTTAGGATTCTCGAATTCTTATAATTTTTCTTACTGCAAAAATCGCGTGGAATGGAGAGGGCTTCGCTTCCCTTCTGAATCCCTAATTGGGATATTAAAAGGATTTATTATTTTTTCTAACAATTGTTAGCATTTTTCAATTCTTTTGTTAATAGCTTTTTAACTTAAACAATGAGCGACGGCTAAGATCTTTTGATTGTTGTTTAAAGTCATGACCTTATTAACATATATGAAGTACGAGGTCACTAGAGATATCTTCCCTAAACAGGAGTTTTATTACGACACTTCAATATGTCATACTTTACCAGATTGTTAGTTATTCCTTGCATGTACTTTGTAAAATGTCGTATATAATAGTTTATAAGTGGCGTGAGCTCGACGAGTTTTGTATCAAAGTCACATATAAATCTTATCCTACAATATACGTACACGTATTGGGAGTACAAATTGGTTCGGTCCGTTTTTTTGTGGTCAAAAATGCATTTATTTCAGAACAAAATANAGATTAATCAAAGTATTCCATTGTTGGCTACTATTTTTTCTCACTTCTCAGGCAATTTTCGAGTTCCATCTCGAAGAAATGTCTCATTTTTTAAGGCGATCCAAGTTAGGAGCCAATTTTCGATTTCTGCGAAAGTAGTGAACCGGTGACCTGCCAAATCGTGCTGCATCCGTCGGAACAACCAGTAATCAGAAGGAGCAATGTCCGGCGAATACGGCGGGTGCGGTAAAATATCCCACTTGAGCGTTTCCAAATAATTTTTTACGACTTTTGCGACATGAGCGTTATCATGCAGAAGAATAACTTTGTCATGTCTTTGCTCGTATTCCGGCCGTTTTTCTCGTAATGCACGGCTCAAACGAATCAATTGTAGCCTATATCGATGGCCCGTAATGGAATCGCCAGGTTGTAGCGGCTCATAGTATACAACATCCTTTTGGTCCCATTTTTTTGGCTGTCCAGAGCGAGGCTTGTCTTCAACGCTGAAATCACCATTCTTGAAACGTCGAAATCATTCCCTACATGATTTATCAATTGGAGCATTGTCACCATAAACTTCTACAAGCATTCGATGTGCTTCAGCTGCACTTTTCTTCCAATTAAAGCACTTTTCTTCCAATTAAAACCTCCCGCAAATGCTGCTTAGTTAACACAAAATTTGACATATTCAACACAGTAAAAAACAGAGGTTTTGTATGAAACTCAAAGGGATATAAACTGAATATTATTGACAGATGTCTAACCTCTCTGAAACCACCGAAATCAGCTGTCACTATGAAACATTCATTACAGCCAGAGCCATCTTTTGAAAACGGACCGAACTAATTTGTACTCCCAATACATAAAAATTCGATTAGGTTGTTTTCTCATGTAAACTTAAAGCATTTTTGCTTGTCATGTGGTATTCGTGTCTTAAATAGTATCGAATCCGCTCGATATTGTGTATTCAATAATGGCATATATCCAAAAACCTGAAAGCATTGTTCATATTGAGTAATCTCGCCAAGTCGTTTAAGTATTTAGCGACCATTATTGTTAATATAATTAATAAACATATTTCAAAACAGATTACATAAAGCTACCTGACAACCAGAAATCCTTATTACCTGAGAAAAGAAGTTGATGCATCTGTGCCTCTCTTGAAAATGTGTATCATCTTCGGAAAGTGAGACTGGACAACCCGGACATCTAAACGTCCAACGTGAAGTCACCTAAAATCGCGTGTATGAATATATTTACATTAATTTATCGTTTTTCGATATATTAAAATATAATCATTCTCTTCGTATTAAAGGTAACGCCTTACTTTAACTGGTGGTTTCCTCGTGATGTGAGATATTAAGAAATTCATGGCGATGTCTTCGCAGTTCATGTACTCGTCGACTTTATCCCTTATTGCTTGCGGTAACCAGTGGGTATACAGATATGTATAGTGTTTGTGAATGAAAGCGGCTCCGGTTAAGACCATAGAGAGTTCGCAGGAGTAGTTGGAATTATAGTTCCAAGCGTTATGGTAATTTTGATCCCACGCGTGAAAGCGGCCGGGAAATCCTACCACGCGATCTCGGTGTTCCCTCCATACTCTGAAACCACACGATAGTCGAACAAAGTCGCATTAACTAATAAGAGTGTGCGCGAAAGCGGCTTACCTGAAACCGAACATAATCTCATCGTGCCTCAAGTGAGCGTCATCGTCAACGGAAAGAACGGCTTCTGTCTCAATCGCATCGAACGGCAGGAATCTGTTGTTCAAACTGTTCCTCGGGGCCTTTATAACCTGCCCGGAAATATTTTCAAAGTGGTTTAATGATACCTTTATGTATAAAGTCCGTATAAGGTCGTACCCGAGAACAAATGAAACTCACGTGTATAGGAACGCCAATGTCAGGCCACTTGAGGTCCTCTACAGGTGGCTTTGGGCTGTTCCACACCACAAGTACTTTGTTCAAGTAAGGCAAGCCATAAAGACGTGCCAGTGAATTTATAAGAACTTGTTCTCTCTCGTACGTCAACATGACGATCGTGAATTGCTCTCTCGGATAGTTGCCTCCCAATGACTCACTGAACTCTTTCCCGGCACCGCCGGCACCTTTGCCGATGGGTCGAAAGCCAACCTCTGAACCTATATAAATAACAAATAATGCACACATAACGGTTTGACGATGTGAAAAGCGAGAAAATATAAAATTTTACAAAAACGGTAAAACATGAAACAACGTTCTTCCTTAGCTGATCTTTTTTCATGATTTCGTCATGTCGATTTTACGGCTATTTTATGGATTGTTAAAATAAAATAAAGTTTTCAGGACATTTTACAAATATGCTCAATCGACCACAAATATGGAGATATCCTTTTACTTCAATTCTGCCAGAATTTTGGGCATACGTTTCCTCGGTTCCGACATCAAGATGGCTGCAGCGAGAGGAAGATAATCGAAAATAATGATCTTACCGAGAAACTTAGCGTCACTAGGTAGGATGGTGTCGAAAGGTAACTGCGGGTACAAATTGAACGGGTCCATCCAATCGTTCCAGATCTCATGACCTTGAATCAACAGCGTGGTGTAGTTCCTCTTGAAAGCAGGAGACGGATACGGCGGCTCCAAGGGACCTAGGCTCTCCTCAGCCTCTGGTTCCGCGATGATAGTGTCCGACTTTAAAGGCTTTTGAAATCAAAACAATGTAGAACCTACCGGAGCGAAGATCGCAGTTTGAAAGTTTCGGGAAAAACTATTCTTCCCCAATTTTTCCGCGGATCATTCTTCTCTACGGAGAAGAGTAAATGTGATAGCCGAATATACGTAAATTTTTCTCAATGAAATTTTGTACTCTCGGAACGGTTTTCTCCGAAACTGTAGTCACGTCTCAAGTATATACCACAAAACTTTCATTGAAGACACTAGGACTGAGCGTTTGCGACGCCGGCAATGGCGGTATGCCGAGTCTGTCCCTGACCACGGCTATGATCGTGTCCACCGCGCCTTGAGCGGTGCTCATGTAACGTTCCCATATCAACCTGCCTTGCCGTCGCATCGTCAAGAGGTCGTTGTCAGGGACAGCACGCAGCAGGAAGTGCATTTCGGTTACTCTGGCCTGAAAAAATCATGGTCTCTCGTAAGCTAGGGCATCGAGAACAAAATCGCCGATGTAGGTTACCTTGGGCAGAAAGATGACCGCCCTCCTCCAGGCGATGACCTCGTTGTAATTGAGTAAGACCTGATCGCCACCGAGGATCACCGGTATCGAACCGGATCGCAACGCCTCGTACAGCCTCGCCTGCATGGACGAAGTGGTGAGCAACGTGGCGTTGCTGGGCGCCAAGATGAGCGCGAACGTTGATTCTTTCAATATGGCTCGTCTGGAGGAGTCGGTGCCGCAGAGGGACCAATCGAGAGCCTCCACGGGTTTGCTCTCCACAGAAGCGGGTATGCACTCGAATTGGATGAAGAATTTGTCCAGAGTCAGCCCGCTGCTCATGTCCTTCAGATGCTGAATGATGAACGCATCGATATTGTTGTCGTCCACCGCTAGTCTCTCGAGATCCATGTCGGCGTCGTCGATTTGGTGCGTCATCGGTGTGCCCTTGTAGGTCCTCATTTCCCCTTGGAAGGACAGCAGGTACTTCCTCCTCGCGGGTAGCATCTGTGCGCACTCTTGCCAAACGTCTCCGCCGGGCGGTCCCAGGATCGGCGGGACGATCAGGTCAAAAGCGACGCGGAACTGATTTCGGTAGAACGTCGACTGCACTATGATCGCTCTACCGGTGTCTAGATTGTTGAAGATATTCCCTGAATCCGCGGACAGGTCTCGTCGCGCCATGTTCAGCAGTATGTGGTTTCTACCGTCTCCACCCCAGTAGGGAAGCGCGTGTAGTTTCTTCACGTCCACGGGTTTCCCGTAACGATGATCGACCCCCTTTGACTGGGAGCTCAACGCTTCGCCGATTAACACTATGTAGACGCACGCCTCCGCTGGATTCCTCGTCAGATGCGGGTTGTATCCTGTATGAGATGTATTTATCACGGTTGAACATTGTGGAATGAAAACAGGAATATTCAAACAAATCCTGAAACACGTCAAATACATACCCAATGTTTGCTTGATGGTCGTTTTCAGAAAGCCATCCACGTCCCAACCTGGATTGACCACCGAGAATTGGTCCGGGTCGTACAAGAATACGGGGAAACCGCTCGTCAACGCGCATCGACTGTGGTCGAAACAATTGTACATCCTGCACGACCGCGGATCCGTGCTCGGCAATACAACCGGGATGATATTGATTAATATTCTCTTAGGTGGTGCCAACTCCGGAGTGTTCCTTTCCACCGCTTCTCTCTGTGCTACCTGTGCCTGTTCCACGCTTATCTTCAGTCTGTCGAGATCTGTCTGTTGATGCAGCAATTCCTGCTTCAATTCGTCTATCTTCTGGGTCAGACTGTTAACTTCCACTTGCAGCCTCTGCCTCTTGGCGCTCAGATCTCTCAGCTCGTTGCTCACTGATATCTTAATGCGTAGCATCTCTTCTATCCTCATCTTTAGCTGCGATGCTTTCATAGATGTAAAGTCCTCGAAAGCTTCCAGTGTTGAAAATGTTCTGTATATATCCCTATCTGGAGCGTCGTTTTCTACCTGAGAAGAAATTTCAGGTCAGCACAAAGCTTTGCAAAACTATTGTGATATATATCGCACAATCATTGTCAAGATATACCTTAACAAATTTTAAGAATGTTTTCTCTCTTATCTTACGTACCTTGGATAAATAATAATGGGTAAATAATGGCACGATAAATAAAACCACAGACGTTAAAAGAATTATCCTAGACAATTTGATGTGTGCCAACCATTGGCACACCTCCATTCCAGCCCCATTGGAATGATAGGATGGGAGAACACCTTCGTAGGTATTTCCTCCCATATTGACCCGTTGTAGCATACCTTCATCTAACTGATAAATACTGGATGATTTGATACATCTCGTCTGGGATCTCTGCAATAATATTGTCTTTGAAGGAGGATCATTAAATATCAAACTAAGTAACTGAAAATTATACAGAGATATATATCTCGTTATTTCACACATACAGTTGAAGAGTTGTATTTGATAATATTGTTACGCCCGTGTATTGATGCCCGAGCTCTGAACGTACAGCTGATTCTCTTGGCAATGAGTCGTAAACAACAGATGATCAGCGTTGACGGATAAACAACGGGTTTGAGAGATTTTCTCTGGGGCGGTCGAGTCGTCGTGACGTGCGCGACGGTTTTTAGCGAGAGAGCGAGTCTGCGTGCTTTCTTGTAAATAGCAAATATATAATTGAAGTTGTTTCCTATTTAACGTTGTCTCATTTCCCCACGCGAGCGTAACAATATTTTGCACAAAGTTTCGTTAGTCAAAAGCAACGATAGTAACGCGTCTACCTGTCAATAAAGCCAAATGCTCGGAATTAAAACTGACATGTGATAATGTGTATCATTATACTATCAATGACCCGCATGACCTAGTCACTTGCTACTTTGCTTTCAGATCAAAACCGAGCGAGCTTGACGAACATCGCATCCGCGAGTCGAGATAAAGCCAGCACGCGTCTCGCTCATTCAGCTCTCAACGCGAATTCCGGCGAACGATGAACTTTTTCCGAAATCACGTTTCCACTCCCATCTCGCTCGCGATCGCGTCGAGGTTAGTTCCGGCACGAGTTTCGCGCACTTCGTGTCTCGCGAACTTTAATGCTATTAATTTTTAATACCGTCGAGCGCATTAATTGTGTCATGTTCGAAGCAGCGAATGATTTATCGCTTATAAGCGAATATAAGAATTTGACATTTATTTGTATGCGTATACACATGTTCCATTTTTTTAGCCGCACGGAGCCGCACTGGGAACGAAGATAGAACCTGCATAGGACCAAGGTGAATGAAATTTTTACGAATAAAAGAATAAAACACAGAGGAAGATAAAGGGGACGCGGCAATGATTAATGCTGCGTTATAATTTCGTGCGTCACGAATAGAAATTATTTACCAACTGCATATTTTATTATGCACGAAAATAAACATTCACTTTGCCCCATTGTGAAAAAAGGCAAAATTTAATTGGATGTAAATTTCGGGAAAATAGTGATAATGAGATGATTCAAGCATTTTGTAGCTTAAAATCTTTATTCTTTCTCAAATATGTATTAGAACATAAAGTTAACTATTTATTTACGATGCTGCATAAATATAAATAGAGATACGTCAAATGTAAACTAATTTTTCATGAAGCGTATGTTTGTCAAGTCACGTTGTTTAAACAAAATATTGTTTTAACAAATAACGTTTATACTATTTTAAAGAACGGACTTTGTTCTTTAATTTGTGCGTATGCAGATTTCTGTATGATTTTTTTTCAGCGAGTTACTCAACATTGAATAAAAATGACCCTTTTGAATTTAATCGCACATAGAAGATGAACAAATCGTTGTATAGCATTTATAAAGCATGAATAAGGAGCTTACAGTTTCCTCTTTCAAATATATTAATTGAATTTTTAACAAAAGTAACTTTCCAATGTAAAACTCAACTAAAAGATGTTGAAATTTAATAGGTCATCTATTTCTTATTTAACTCGATGTATCTTAGTGAGAAACAAGAGGAGCATTATGAATTTAATATGATTAAAAAGTAGAAACTTTAAACTTTAAAATAATTTTTTAATAATCTCATTATCATTATTTTTGTCAAAGTTGCAGCTCGTTGAATTTCGCTTGTTTTTTGTGGCGGAACAGAAGGACGTCTGATATGCTTTGAGTAGTACTACTTGGAATATGAAGGACTTAGGCCCGATATTTGGCTTTAAAAATAACGGGTCTGGATTGGATACGCAATAAGTGGTCGATTGTATATATCAAAACGTAGTGACAATTACAAAAGTGAATAAAATGAGTAAATTCGTTTACTTTTGTCATTCTTATTACGTTTTAAGACACACAATCGACCCCCTGACTTCGACTTTAGTTCCAAAATCACCACTACGAGTCGCCGCTTAACAAAGAATTGAGATCGTGATATGACTCAATAATGGGGTCGTACCTTCATTTCCAAGTAATATTACACAACGGAGGATCAGACGCCCTTTAACTTTATGAAAAATACATGAAACTCAACGGACTGTAATTTCGACGAAAATAATGATAATTAGATAGTTTAAAAAACATTAAGAAATTTGAAGTCTTTATTTTTCAATTGTATTTAATGCTTTTCTTGTTTTCCGCTATGATACATCAAATTAAATGAAAAATAGCAAATGATTAAATTTCAATCGTATATTTCAGTATATTAATTACACAACTGCTCTAAATTGAAATAATTGATATTTCGAATACTTTAAATCTTATTAAGAGGAACACTTGAATATAAATTAAAATTTTTTTTTAACAAGTCAAACGTTCTCTTCTTTCCTTGCAAAGGACATATTTGTTTATATTCTTTGCATCGTTGCAAAAAGTTGCAAAAAGTTTGTCGGAAAAACAGAATTTTATGCATTATGTAACTCTGAAACATCGAGAAGAGATGATCGATTTATTAACAAAATAAGAATCGAACATCGATTCATCGGTCGATCACCGTCCATCTCTGCTTGAGACGTTCACAGAACATGCGCATGTTCGTGTCAAGTGTAGTGCGAGGGGAATAATATTTTGGCTTTCGGGGGCCTAAAATTAGCTGGAAAATGGTAAGCATTTGGGAAACAGATATTTGTACAACGATAAGATTATGCCTATGCCGCGTTATCAGACAGTCAAATATAATCTTCCGTTTCGTCGTTTTGTTTTAAAGTTAAAATAATAACCTATCTTCGTGTATAATGTTATTCTGGCTTTTCTTCGCGCTAAATATATCAGACCTGTCATCAGAGGAGTGACGGGGCGGTCTGAAATACTGCTTTGACCTTTTCCGTTTTTTCTCCTCTCGCTAGATGTATTTTGCTATAAGTTTCTCTACCATCTTCTTAGCCAAATATTCTTGCTTCCTGACACACTCTGTTTGTACTTTTATAGACATCCCATTAGCAATGTAATTAAATAAACTTGCGAAGCGTATATAACATTTCCTCTTTGTTTGAATTGCAGCAAAAATTAAAATTTTCACAAAGGGACAAGGTGAAAAAATTTATAACATTTACACAAACTGGAGAACAAACCGCAATATATTGCCTGGCACAAAATGACTGGAAGCTGGATCTGGCGAGCGACAACTACTTCCAAAACCCAGAAGCTTATTGCAAAGAACCTAAAAATTCTGTAGATAAGAAGAAACTGGAAATATTGTACAGCAGATACCAAGGTAGTGTCACTATAATTATTGATGTAATATGAGAATTTATCATTATAAAAGTAATTTGCTAAATAGGGTCGCTAGTTGAGTAGTTTTTATATTATTTCTATTGAATATTAGGAGAGATAAATATCTGACATAATAATAATACTTGCAGATCCAAGTGAGCCCAATAAAATTACAGCGGATGGTATTATGAAATTTCTGGATGATTTGGGTCTAAGTCCTGAGAGTAAGCTAGTTTTAATCATTGCATGGAAATTTCGTGCTGAAACACAGTGTGAATTCACAAAAGATGAGTTCATGAATGGAATGGTGGACTTGGGGTAAATACAAAAATATCTCTATGTCCTGTTCACATGATTGTATCCATAATTATATCGTTAATTCCCATATCTATCTTATCTCTTGTCGCAAGGCACAATCTTAATAGTTCCTATAGTTATTTTTTATTTTCCCTTTTAGCGTGGATAATATAGACAAGCTGAAGGCGCGTTTATGTAGCTTAGAAAATGAATTGAGGGATCCTCAGAAATTCAAAGATTTCTATCATTTTACATTTAATTATGCAAAGAACACAGGACAGAAAGGTTTGGATCTGGACATGGCAATCGCTTATTGGAACATTGTATTAGACGATAAATTTAAATTTCTCCAATTATGGTGTCAATTCCTACAAGTAAGGGATCTGTAGTTTTATTTCTCCTAATTTATCCTTTACATGTGTAAAATCATTCGGTTTTCTTTCTCTTTTCCTTTCTTAATCATTGATGCTTTTCAGGAACATCACAAGAGATCGATTCCGAAAGACACGTGGAACTTATTGTTAGACTTTGCACTTATGATTAATCCAGACATGAGTAATTATGACGAAGAGGGTGCCTGGCCAGTTTTAATCGATGATTTCGTAGAATGGGCGCAACCCCGAGTCCGTCAATCTCTCTAACGTTATTTTTTTTTCTTTATGATAAATTTTGAACGATCTTACACAGTAACTTTATTTATTCGATATACGGAACGTATATTCTCCAAATGTGTTTCATTGGACATTTTTTCAGTAACGCGAAATCATTCTACTTTTATAGTACATGATTTCACGCGGGTTTATTGTGCTCAACGTTTTCTGAGTAAAATCGTTGTGTAACAGTATAATGACTCATAGTATATAATGTATAGCTTCCTTGTAATATGCATTGTCGAACAATGTACAATATACCGCTTCGATAGATAATGTTTTATTTGCTGAAATATGTAAAGAGAGAGATTGAGAGAGAGAGAGAGAGAAAGAGAGAGAGAGAGAGAGAGAGAAAGAGAGATATCTTTTGAGTGTTTCCTTAAAAAGTAATAGCGCTATTTACTTGTACCGAGTTCTATTTGTGTAAGGACTAACCACGTAGGATATGCAAAATTATTATCTGTAAGATAACTTAAGTTATCTTATAGATAATAAATTATTATCTTTAAGATAACTTAAACCGCGATCTTTGATTTATCTTCGAAGAAGAAAACGAGTATTGCCTTGTGATTGATCATATTGTACAAAGTAATACGACATGTAAGACGTTCCTTTACAAATGAGAACACGGCAAAAAGTTGCTCAACTAACGTTGGTACACGCAAGCAGTTCATAGATCAATCAAGAAAAAAGAATCTTCTTCTTTCAAGATAATGTGCAGCATTGCAGACGAAATTGCAAGAGGAAGGGGGGGGGGGGTATAGTTTATATGTTCGTGTAGATAGTAATTTCTAAAAATTACGTTGTTGAGAATTGTTATTAAATAAATTCTACAATATTTCACTATATACACATACACATACACACACATACAACACATAAATATACTTGTAAAATATACACGGGAATAAAAAGAGAAAGAAATTTGTATTTTAGACATTATACAATATCTTGGCACCGTTATACTTATCTTTTATACTCAATCCGGTGGCAGAACAAAAAACGAAATTTTTGTTCATTAAAAAATAATGATATATTTGTAGTATGCTTTTTGAAACTTTATCATTACTAAGTGATGTAAAAATTTAAGTTTCTGTTTTTATAAATTCGAACGATAAATTCTTCACTTGTGTGTAATCGTACGACATAATTAACTGCGTTTATTTGTTGAATTGATAGTACATAAAGACGTTACTTATAATTATGGCATAAACAGATTTGATTCTCTTATCGAGTTTGTCATGGTTACTTCGCGACGTTTGATTATTCCCTTATTTAAATCATTATCATGCGAATTTAGCGACGTATATTTGTCTCCACGATCCATGCGAATGATTTTCTTTATACGAGATACGTGGAAATCATGCAGGTGTGTAAAAAAAAAAACAAATTACATTAACGCGAATTGAAAGTTAATTGTTAAGAGAAATCAAAATATTGTAGCTACTTATACATACAATGTTACGAGGGTGTAAAACGAAACTACTTTCGAGTAAAATTGTATCGTCCACGCGTCTTTGATTATATTTTATAAGCATAATGAAAGAGACGGAGAGAGAAAGAGAGAAAGGGACAGACAACATAACCGAAGGGAGTAAATCTCAACAGATACGGATTAGTATTAAGCTTACTAATACGACGTAGTCGACATATCGCCAGTGGGATATGTTTGCGCAATGCTAAACTCACTCATTAGAGAAATATCTATACGGTGTGTGTGTTTTACGGGACACTCTCTGTTTGAAGTTCGATGTTGTTTCTTTTCTCGAAGATAAATCAAATTATTTCCCTAATAGTTTCAGCATTGTGTAAACAATGAAGCGTTTTAACTAGCCTTAGAGAGATCAATTGTACATAATGTAAATAAATACATCGGTCTTAATCAGCACACGCACGCTCGGTTTGTTCAAAGACAGATGAACTGCAAGGGATGAGTGTATACTGTATTTCCTGTGTATTACAGTTGTATGCGTTTAAATAGAGAGCTCCGCTAACGACATAGGCAGGCACGGTGATGATAACATCGTCGACTATTGCGGGCTTCGGCATGGTGCATCTACGTAAAGAATAAGTTTTCTTTGTAATTCTCTCTTTATGGCCAGTTCGAGAAGAAAAGAAATATAGACGGATGCGGTTATACTTTGTAACAGCTGTGGCATTCGCACGAGTGTCCGCAGGAATATAAGAAAGCTAATTCGTACTTATTAGCCTGTATATTGTAGCAATTTTTTAATACATCCTGAGTATACCAGTCGCACAATGATTCCAATTTATCGATGGGAGCCTGCGTCATATGTATTTTATTAGAAGGAGAGAGAGGGAGAAAGAGTAATTCGTACTTACTCGTTATGCTCTTTGACGTCTAGCTGAACTCGCTCACTCACCTGAGCGATGGCTAATCCACGATTTGCGTTGTTAACGGTGCTGTGACTGTGCGAATCGAACAGCGTGACCTACGGATAAACGATTCGTCCCGATCATATCCTCGCTACTTTCCCCCGCCACTTTTCGCCACCGGTCGAATATTCACCTTGTATGTATCTTGAAATATAAGCAATATGGTACGTCCGCACGTGATGAGCAGCATAAATAAAATGTGAGATTCCGGGGCTTTATACCATTCGTGCAGAAATGCATTTATATTTTTGCACAAACTCGTCCCTATCTCCTCGAGGAAAATTTTGAACTTCTACAGCAAAAGTATCACATGTGTATATATATATATATATATAAGTACTCAAATATAGAATAGAATATATTCCCCTCTCTTCCCCTCCTTCCTGTTTATTGAGAGAACTTCTCTTGTACAGATGGGAACCGAGCGAGGCGAGAAATTTCTGAATAATAATGATCGAAAATACAAAATATAATTTGCTTCAAGTGTACAATGGTCATACCCATTCTTTCAGTGTGTCTAAACTTTTCCCACCATACTTCAACGCCTCCTCCGTGCTCAGATAGGGATTCGATATAAGTTTCTTCTCAATGAGCCATGCATGTGTCTCATTACCCTCTATCATGGCTTCTGCGACAATGACATTTAATCTTGGGCATTTCTCCACATCATAAATCAATAAGTGTTCCCTCGATATTCGTACTGCCACAAGCAAACATATAAGTGTACAGGCATTGCTTACTGGAGGATTGTGCGAGCACACCGAGAAATATACATTAACGATATATTTCATCTGTACAGGCCGCTGAAATATATGTACTAATGATATATACATGTGTACACCGTAATATATAATTACTTTCTTGCCCCGGTGGGTAACGACTCTGTGTAAATTCGGGATGATACCAGAACACGTCCACTTCATTATTGGAGCAGTCTTTCACGTATGTCGGGAAATGGCAGCTAAACAGTGGCGGTAAAGCCATAATCGCGAGAGTGTCCTTTAATTTGTGCGCATCACTTGTCAATTTTGTTGTTGCGAAAATACATTTCCAAATACGTGCGATCAAGACATTTTTGACGCCGAGACTTCGTGACAGTTCCTTCAGGCTGCGTCGCAGGCCATCGTCATAGGAGAACAGTTGAACAGCAAGAACTGCTGCGATAATCAATGGAATTATAATTGACGACATCCCAACAACTTGTTTAAGATTTTTATTACTTAGATGATCGCGCAATATTGATAAAAACAATACAATTTCCTTACCATACAATGCTTTTCGAGCTCGGCCTTCATTCCGTAATTATCCTCTCAGATCTAACGATTACAATTGTTATTTCATATTCGTAATTCCTAGTAAAACACGTTTTATTCGGTTAATTTTTGTTCTCTCGTAGCGTGTTGTCCTCACTTGATCGCGATGACAATATCGATCGTCGATATGGACCGTTCTGATCTTTTAAGCGTGACGCAGACGTCATACTTGTGTGAAAATGTCGACTGAAAGCGAACCTCTCTTCTTCGTTCTAATGCGGCTGATACACCAAATTTATTCTCCAATATGTACATTGCTCTGCACAGGGTATTATGTTTCGTCGATTATGTAATAAGATATAAAAATGTCTGTGCGCAACTGACATTGCATCCATCTTATCCCCGATGAGACGCATACGCAAAAACTAATAAATAGTCCGTTCGGGATTTGTCTCGCGTCATGAGCTGCTTGGTACACCAGAAACAACATACATCAATGGAATAAACTACATCTTGTCGGCGTAAAAATAAAATACGCAGATATATATATTTACATATAATTTATCATAAAAATAAAGCTGGACAACTTGAGTTTAGTGACGTAGATTCGACGTTATAACCAAAGAATGGGACTAAGTGCGATACATGTGCTCATGAGGTTCGGTTAATCCGACAGTTAGATAAAATTATTCATTGAAATCGGCAATGTTGGGAAGTAACGGGTTACCGACTAAGTACTCGTTCGAATCGGAGACTGCCTGTCGTTGATGTTTTCACCATCGCGATATTGACAGTGCATTTGGCGAATGAGACACATTTCATGTTGTTATTGCTTATATTATATTTGTCTCTCGTGAATCAATAAATTTCGATCGATACCGATATTCAATTTCCATGCAAATTATATCACACAGCACATACGCATATGACTGTTCAAATCAGTTTCGGCAAAATTTCTAAATTATTAGTTTATTATAATTGTAATAAACTAATATTTATCTAAACGCATATATATATTACACCCGACTCGGCTCGACACTGTTATTACAAAGATACGTTGGAAACGGTATTCGCGATTGTTCTTGTTTTATCTCACGGCCACATAACACACCGGCCTCATCAAATCTGAAAGTAACAAGAGAATACATTGGACATGCTGATACATAACATCGTGTAGAAAACTTTGCTCTCTTCTCGATTGAAACCCTCTTAATTGTTGGAAGCGGAAATCACTCCAACGCATTTTGAGGTATCGCACTTACCAGTGATCAAAATGATCTGTAAGTAGTCGGGTAACGGGTCGGTATACTCGTCGTGATGAGACGCGACCAATGTTCCCATCCCAGGATCCTCGCGATCTCGATACACTTCTCGTCAACCTCCTTCAACGGCTTCTCCTCGTAATAGCGCGTCAGTAATTTCAAATAACGTCCATAGTGATTATTGACGTGGGCATGCCACAAAGATAGAATGATAACCTGAGCAAGAGACCAAAATTATTATTAAAACTATTATTATTCTTATTATTAATTATTGCAAAGTAAAAAATGGTAATTTAGACAAAGATTTATGGCATTATCTTAAAATTATAAGTCGGCAATTCTGATAAGGCCTTTAACCTGTGTTTGAATTATTTTCAGACAAAGAGTTGAGTCCATATTCTCAACTCATTTTTACTGATAAAAGTGCCTCCAAAAGTGGCATAGAAACCACCTGATTGACTAAAAACCACATTTAAAATATTTTTATCGATAAAAGTGAGAATAGTGATTTGTCAATAAAAGTGACATAAGTGAGTTCAGAATACGGGCCTTAAACTCAAGTTAAAGTTTAATTAACGTTGGTAGGAACGAGCAGTCGGGGTGACTTTTATCAAGCTCTGATTAATTCAATCGACGACTAACTCAAGGGAATTGACCAATCACGTTGATCATCCAGCTAATTGACCAATTGATCAGAGATTAATCGGAGTTTCGTGAAAGAAATTCTTATTCTCGCCAGCTTTAAGTAAACTTATGTTCTTCCATCCATTTGGACTTTAAGTAATATAGCAATGGAATTACATCTACCTTGTTGTCAGTAGGCTCCGCGAACTTTTGCACTTCTTGCCAATGATGCGTGACGCTTTCGAGCAAATGTCCGTAGGACCCCTCCTCTCCGGTCTTCGTACCGTGTACGTACAACCGGGCCAGTGCGCACCCCTTCTTCACTAACACCTCGATCAAGCTGTTCTTTTGCTTCTCCATCGTGGCCTTGATTTTAGCTGCGTCGGGACGCTGGTCGCTCTTCAGGCCGAAGTATGCCAATAACTTGTCCTGATCGATATTTGTGATTACAGCGTCGGCGACTGTTATTATTTGATTGGCGAGTGCGATTGCGTTCTCCGAGAGGTCATCGTGCGGCACGTGTCTGCGCGCCTCGGGAGAATCCAAAGACGTCAGCATAGCGGTGTGGACGGGCAGGTGGTCCGAGAAGATGTTCTTCAACTCGCCATACAACAAATTGGCATACTCGCCGGGTTCTGTCATCAAGAAACCCACATGTTAGCGTAAATGCAAATACTTTTGCCGCAGTCACTTACATGGATGATAACGATCGACAGAAATCAGCGAGCCGGTCATTTTCTGGCTAACTTGTGATTTGGGTTTAACCTGATAATAATGTAAAACTTGTGTTTTCCTATTCATGACTAATCATTATATTTTTAAAGTTCCTCCTACTACAAAACCGTCAATGATTAATCACGAATAAAGAAGCACAATTTTTGTATTATCATCAGTTTAAGTTTGAACCACAAGTTAGTCAGAAAAGTCGGGTGTGTTACCAATAACAACAGTTGGTTCGTCAAACGTAACGGAGAGAATGCAAACATCGTAACACCACACACATGTGCGTATTATTTGATTCATACGGAAGTATGTGGGTAATTATATACGCAAAAGTCGCAAATACATGCTCCAAGGTATGATGCACGTGTATAACGTACGTTAGATCATACGTTTCTTTGTATGGAAGGGAGCGCGAGATATACATAAAGGTTCATTTTTCACTCAACCCAACTTACTTATAGACGGCGCTATTGATATAAACCGGAAAAAAAGGAAGAAAATATTTATGATATAGTGAAAATTAATCCACGTATATATATATATATATATACATGTTTTACTGTATTTAAATATCTCTATGTATCTTATAAGTGTGTTAGATTACCGAGTTTCGCGAGCCAATTGCACTTGAGATCTCTCAGCGCCTCATTGTACTCATCCCATTTCGTCATAGTTTTCTCTTTCTCGGACTTGGTAGTGGTGTTGCTGTTTTTCTTGGCGGGCTCGGACAAGATGTATTTGAATAAATGGCTATCCACCTTCTTTCCGATATCATCTTTACAGAAAGTCAATGTACCTTGAAGATAACTACCGAGGGTAGCGCCTTTGGATATTCTTTGCAAAAAAAAAAGAAAAATTTTTTTATGTTCTTCGGTGGATTGAAAAATTGTGTTTTTAATGATAAACTGTGCAGCTCTATTATCTTCTTTATAACTTTAGCATTATATATATGCCTGAAAGCTAAACAGAATAGAACAATCAGTTCAGCGCCGGTGTAAGAAGAATGTAACAGCCATAATGCACCAACGAATATGATGTTCCAGCGTAAAAAAATCTACACACATAATACAGCTTATTTTCGTATTAAGTGCATCAATATACTGCATCGCAATACAATTGAGAGCAATGAAGCATGTGTGCAAGGAAACGAAAAGAATTAATTAATTCTGTGTAGAACAAAATATTCACGGGTAGTTGAAAATAATAAAACTCAAAAGCAATTGTACGAATGCGCACGGATATAATTTCTGAAAAATTGATAGAAGGTAATGGCAGCAAAAAGAAAGAAAGCAGAAGCATGTATTACCGTAAGCGAATTTCTTGTAAATATATATTAAATTTGTTTTTTCTTTGCGTGAATGAATGCTTTTCTAAACAGAGATAAAAAATAAAATAAATAAAAAGTTGTCCAAGATAGCTGTTCTCGCAGTATGCCATCTTAATTAAGGACAAGCGTGATCCACATGCACATAAAAATGTGTCGATCTAATTGATTGGGCAGCGAGTAGTGTCCTTAATTCGATTTAATGCGGTCAAATGCGAAATATATGTAGAAATTGTATTATAAACTCACTTGTTTTCAGTGCTGCAATGTAAGATGGAAAAAAAGAAGATTACCTTAGTAGCACTTTACAGCGACAACCAACGTATGTATTACTATACATGGTATCTCTAAATTAATGTGACAAGATTTATTTTAAAGATTTAGTTTTATTCTTTAAACAATTTGGTTTCGATATTTCTTTAATAGAAGCATATCAACCTGTTATTTCGCTTTTTTCATGTGTAATTGAGAAAAATCTTCTTCAGGGCTTAAGTTTTACAATGCATGGAACATAATGTTATTCCAGCAGCAGCAACTTTCAACAAAATCTCTGCTAAAGAAAGATGGGTTCCAAATTGGCCAAAGAAAGTGTGAAAACGTTGCGGCATCAATTTGGAGATAACTCGTATATTTGTTCGTATACGAAAACGCGTTCGCGAACACATCAACCAGGAATAGTATTATTATTATTATTATTATCATTATTAAAAAATTTAGATCGGCAGTCGACTAAAACCAAAAACTACTTATGAAAAATCAAACAATACCTTACATCCAATCAAAGCGTACTATGCTACAATATCCACTTAAGACTCATACATACGATTACCAAGGAGGTATACCAGACTTTTTGTACAAATAAGAAAAAATACGAAATTTTATACACAATATCTCTCAATCGTATAATTAGTCCAATGAAACGAGTGATGCAGACGTTACTTGATGGTGCAGATCAATAAGTGATAAATCTCTGATGAGAGAATATCATGTATTTAATATATATGACGTGGAATATATACAGGGTGAGAGAAAAGAGAATATAGAAAAGAGAAATCCCGAAAAATATAAGTTTTACAGAAAAGTATTTCCGATAAAAGTTGCAGGGTTTAAAAAGATCTATTCATCGATCTTATCAGTTTGACCTTGGATGGCGTCGACAAGTTGAATTTGTTAAATGTGATCTCTTATTTTTTATTCCATATTCTTGTTGCCCTTGTTAAGACGTTTTCAGAACACTATAATAGAGCTTCCTTTGGTTAAAAATTTCCTGAGATAGAATATGGTGATGCCATCCAAGATCAAACTGATAAGATCAATAAAGATCAAATTGATAAAACCAATAAAGATCAAACGGATCAGTAAATAGATCCTGTTAAACCCTACAACTTTTATCCGAAACACTTTTCTGCAAAACTCATATTTCTCGAGATTTTTCAAGGTTTCTATACTTTTTCCTCACTCTGTATAATATACGCATACAGTCGATATTCAGTTGTATCTATTGTTACGACAGCAATAAATTTGAAATATACCAAGCTCCATTAACCTATCAGGCATTTACCGAGATAATGAATAATGAGAAACGGGTCGCGTGTAGATAGACACGCAAATATACTTACTTGCTTTCGTTAGACATCGGAGCGATATACAAGGGGAGGATATGACCAGGTGGAACAGACGCAGCTACCATCTTCTTTCCGCCGATAATAGCCTGCGACTGACTGGCGTAAATATCCAGATTAATCGGCGTGCCTAGCTTTTGACTCAGAAGTAACGGCATGTCCGTCAATTTTTCCAGCAGATCTCTCTTTTCGTGACGTATATGCATCTTCAAAGTGTAATCTCCTTTTTCTAACTTTTGAATCGTATACTGTAACAGAATGATATTATTTTTATGCGTTTGACAAGACCGTAGTAGATCGAATTTCACTCGTGAATACACAGGGTGAGACAATAACTATTTTGAATATCTTTGAAATTGCGCAAAAGAAAAATTTAACAGAAATTATATAGCACAGAAGTGATCGTCTTATATGATCGATCTAATTACCATGTAATTCCTGTTGGGTAAATTTTTCTTTTATTCTCACAGTATCATTCAAGGTGGTAACAATTATTGCCTCATCTTGTATATATTCTTTCTATTGTATTGTACGATTATATGACTAAAAGAAAATTATAAAACTCCGAGAGATAAACTGTCACAACATCAGTCTAATAGTCATCAGTCAAATAAGCGCGTTCAAACTGAGAAACTTACCTTAGATGGATATGCATCTCCGCAACAAATCAATTGTTTGTTGCTGTCGTAAATCATCCACATTTGACTTTCATATTCACTTTCATACAACAGATCACTGAGCAATGCAGCGTTCGGCGTGACCTCAGTTGCTTTTGCCGAGTGGAATGTGTATGTTAATTGCAACTCGTATATTTGCCGTGATGGTGGGATGATATCACGCGCTCGTAAAGGAGCGATTTTCGATTCATTAGGCCTGTAATATTACGCAGTTAATTGAGCAAATCACATGTAATCGTTATCGTAGAAAGAATAAATTGGTACAGAGATGCGCACTCACTTCAAAATTTGAACAGTTGACTTCAGAGAAATGCTAGGTACAACCTCTTCGTTTCTAAGAGAACTACGTAATTCAATACGGTTTATTCCATCTCCGGATTGCATCGTAAGATTGCCATTTATCATATGGATCCCATGGAATTCGATGGAATAATCAATAAACATGTCACCCAGGTTTGCCCAATATTTCGCGATAACCACTTCTAAAATTAATCCACCCTAAAAGAATGAAACACATCTACGTAAAAATATACAAACATACACACGAAACTGCGCTAAAATACTTATGGTAATAAAATGGGTAAATAAATGATATCAAATATGATAATAACCTGGACAGCAAATGGTTGAACAGTTTCCGACTGAGATGTAACGCTGATAATTCTGTTAACCTCGAGAGTTTTGCAGGACATTCGAGGTTTCAGTTGAATAGTGTGAATCACGAATCTACCAGTCTTATCCTTTTCCGTGCTCCTTAATCGCAAAACTAGTTGAAGACGAATAAGAATATGATATGAGCGCGACAGTAATCATTGATATCTTTGAATCGGGGCAAGATTCGTGACAAGATATAACTTACCTGCCCAAGTAGCATCTTCCGGCACAAGAATGAAATGACGCTGAATTGTATTAGGCTTAAATAAGATATTTGTATACGTTAAATCCGGCAAAAGCGCAGTCTTCGGTAGCGTCATCGGTTGAACAACCGTCACCGGAATTTGGAATACTGGACCTTTCGCGATATTGGATACATCATACGCTCGCACACTGAAAATCGCAAATACGAGCTCACAAATTGTCTCTTTTAAACTGTTCATGTAGCATTACTCGAAAAGAATATCCCTCACTTAGTCGCATGAACACCTTCTGATAAGTTAGAAGCTTCAACTCTGATGGCAAAAGCACGAGGCATGTGCATCAAGTCTAGATGCGTCGGAAATTGGACCCACGAAGCGCCACACACAAGCGTCAACTTCAGATTAAAGTCGATTTTGCGCGACGGATCTGCAAGAAGATGCAAATTTATACAAACCATAAAGAGATAAAACGGACTTTTCAAAGTCTGATTAAGGCTGTTGTAGCGATATACTATTTTAATTTTTGTGCGAATATAATATATACGTTGTTAGATGTGAAACACCTATATTTATATATCATATCCTCCCACGTGAAAATTAAAATAAAATGTTAGGTTAATGCAAAAGTTGGTCCCGTTTTATAATCAACATGTACAGACAACATTTATTTATTTTAAAATATAATCATTCAATGAATTTCACTTTTTCCGCGAATTTTTTGGTTTTTTACCTTCTTTAGGAAAAAAATAAATGTGACAAGTTTTAGCCGAACACATGAATTTTCCCAAACGAATTTTTGTAACCTTAGAACAAAACCGAAGAAATCAGCGAAAAAATGAAGAAAAAACAGTTTTCTCCCGAAACTTTAAAATGATACCTTCTATCTTTCCGGTAATTGTGTGATCTCACACTCGTAGAATTCTGGGATTTTCTAATAAAGAATCGACTGAAAAAACGGGACGAATTTTTTGTATGACAGCCGCGATTAAGTTTTGAAAGGTTCATTCGTGGTCAGTCATTTACAGAGCCGATGTGAATACAAGCTTGCTTATACGAGATATCTGTTTATATAAGGTTTATCTTACTATCTGAAAACACGAGCGCTAAGCTCATTCGAGGGAAGAGAATCGTGAGAGATATTACCTATATTTTCGCTATCCATGAACACCGGTTCAACGGTGATCGCGTAATCCTTCGGGCGATCGATAAAACCTGTTCTCATGTGGATGCCCTTACTGTTATTAACGCCACAATTGATGGCGAATCGAACGTCCCTTTCGGGGGCATCGCAGTATGAGGTGAGATTATCGAATGCGCTTTCGACTTGCAGTAGGCCGGAACCTTGGGCAAACGGGTCTAAATTGGATACGTAGAGAGCGGTATTTTCAAGCGCCCTCTTGATACTGTAAGGAGAATATGGACAACCTTTGGCAAGAAGTCCCGATATAAGAATCGCTAAAACGTAGAAAAAAGTCCAACATAAGAACGTTCTCACAGTTGATATGCGCGCGTGCGTGAAATACACACGGATACAAATCTCGATGTATACCCACCCACTGCTCCAGTCACGTGCGGACTCGCCATGCTCGTACCGTTCATAAGCTGACTCTTTCTCAGAGTGAAATTCGGTACGCTGGTGATAGCACCTCCCGGTGCGCACACGGTTACCCCCGCGCCTCCGTCTATCATCGGGCCGCGGGAGGACCACGTGTACGGCATACCCGCCATCTTTTCTCTCAAAGAATATTCAGCTACCATCATATCGGGTGACACGTAAGCACCGACGCTAATAATACTGTTTGAACTGATATCCGGGGGAGTTCCTGTAATTTTTTTCAAATATTCCAGATATTCGCGTTCACTGCGTATTAAAAAAGAATCTTAAACGGTACTACTCATGATCCTGACAATAATGCAAATCTCACATCAAATGATAAGGTAGATTTCGAAAGACGGGAACGGATTAGTAACACAGACCGGTAAAACAATTTTTGTCAAGTAACTCTAATCAGAGGAGGTGATTCTTATGGATTTTCGGTCACAAAAACAATGCTGCTGGCCAAATTGCTTCATCATGTCCAGCTTTGAAATTATTTCGAATTTTAAGACGAGGAATCAGCGATTCATAAGAAAAAATCTGTAATAAATCATTAACCGTCGTATATAAAGTAATAAAAATAAGTGAATATTTGATTTACATATTGACTCCTTACTAACAAAGAATAAAAAATCATCTCACAAATGGCAAAAATGTTTGTACAAGCATTTTTCTCACATTTGGTAAGATTAGTAAGAACAAATAGTCGGATTTCAATGTTGTGAGTTCTATTCTCTTCGCGTAATAAAATCTTAAAATTATGTGAAAATAAATAAAAAAATATTATTCTAAAATGGCTGATAAAACGTAAAGAATAAAAGTTTTTTATTAAATTTGAATTAAAAAAAAAAGGCTTTCCTAAATTTTTTCTCAATAAGTCACATTTTGACATTTTAATAAACAAGAATATTTAGTCGATAAATAATAGCGATTTATTATATATTTTTTCTTATAAATCGCTGATTTCATTTTAAGAATTCAAAATAATAAAAATCTGACGCGATGGACGCTACTTGGCCGGCAGCATTATTGTTGGTAACTGAAAATCTATAAAAAAAAACACTCCTACTCTGATTAGAGTCACTTGACAAAAATGTTTCTTGTCAGCCCGTGTAATCAAATCTGATGATACTCACCAATTGTGCACAGAGCCGGTCCGAGATTGCCGGCAGATGCAACCCAGATCACACCGTACTCGTCGATGACCTCGTTCATCAATTCTCCTATCCTACCGGTGTTCGACCAGTGAGCATGTTCTCCGTAACTCATGTTTATAACATGGATCTTTTGCTTATGCTGCATTATGTAAATCATCGCCCGTACTACAGCCGTGCCGGTCTCCATCGTGCCGATACGCCCGTCACCGACGGTCAACGAGATGATTTGTGCACCTGGCGCGACTCCGTTCAACTCGGGATTATCCGGGAAATACGCGGCTGCGATTGACGCTACATGTGTCCCATGGCTCGCTGTGGTACAATAAAATCGAGAGGAATTCGATAGAGAAATTGATGCTTGACTATGTGAGACTTGAGTCGAAGATTTCTGTCCCGTCCGTACTTACAACATAAACTGACAATTTCTAACGTGTTCCCCTCATCGTGCACATTAATACTAATATTTAATTGATCCTCCTGAGTGAGAGGAGCAAAATCCCTCGTGACGGAGTATTCGCCGAGGAAGACGCCAGCTTCGAGATTACCTTCTTCGGTGGTGTCGATACATGCTCTGTAATGGAAAGAAAAACTTAGATCTCAGATATAGTTGTGCGTGTATTCGGGATTACAACGCACTCGGCAATATGATTACCTCCAAATATTACCGTCGTGGAAAACAACGCAATCATAAGTGGGTCCTACATCGCAATACTTTTTCTCGATATTATTCAATACTTCGACGCGAGCTTCAAGTTCCTCCTTCTCCAGCCTTTCCTCTAAGGTCGATAATTGTGAATTCTTGCTTTCAAATTCCTACATAATACAATTATTTGTTGAAATATGATTAATTTCCCACTGAGAATCAATCAATTACTTTTCACACGCACTGAGACGAGCTTATCAAATGACGAGAGCTGAAGCAATACATTATTTTAATGAGATAGTAAGCACTTGGATGGTGATTTAACTGGTGAATTAAACTCTCATTTGTGTGATTTATTTCTATAAAATTAATAAATTTATATCAAGCACCATGTGCCATAAATAATAATACTACAAAATTAACGAGGGTGCCATCACATATACACAGCATCCATATAATTGTTTTGCTTAAGCAGATATTATGTAATGGAATCAATGCCTTTAACAATAGATCAATCTGCCAAATACAAATATAGCATTAGATACGGATCACTGTGGCGTGTTGTGAAACAGCGGCCTCATTTAATTGCATGGTTTGACAAGCTCACCAATACCCAACTATCTTTGGATCACATGGACTAAAATTCTAATTATAATTTTGCTCACAAGTATGCTTCCATTGAGATTTCCAGCAAATATATAATAATGTTTCAAAAAAGATTTTTTTTTTTTCACAGAGTGAGATCATCAGGTTTATATATCACAAAGAAAATGTTAAAAGAATAAATTTGTCTGGAAACAACAAAGAATACAGCCAATAATGCTTAATTGAAAGCAAAGGGATCATCAATATGCTGTCAACAGGTGTTACAGTAGGTACCTGTAATTGTCTGGAAGCTTCCGCAAGTGCCGTTTTATGTCCATCGTCCCAGAGATGTTTTTTACGTTCTGCCACTACTCTTTCTTTTAATTTAGAAGGGTATAGTGAGTACAGGTTCTTTAAACCAATATGATACTCTCCACTAGGATTCTTCCAATTAGATGGGACCTGTACAACAAATATTGTGTAACTAATCATGTTCATTTTATATTAAATTGCAAGTAAAAGGGAGAAATGCAAATCTAATGTTTGTATCAAGTCTAATAACAATCACAAATTAATTTAAAAAATACATAATACAACTTTGTACTCTAATCTTTTCTAGTCTCTTTTCTTCAAACAAGGAAATATGTTCCACAAACATGCCTTTAATTTACGACCAGTCAGACCAAGTATGTATCCATCCGGTGCTTGCGCAACTTTGCTAGTGTCTACATCTCCAGCTCCGCTGCAGTCGAATCTCTCGATAATTTTTGGTTTCCCATCCGAAGTCACCTGGAATGAAGGGACTCAAATATATCGTGTCTCCATATTGGGAACGTCTCTTTCTACAGTTTGTCCACTGTGATTTATAAAAGTATATTCTGTTCTAAGTATCTAAATTTAACAAAGCCTAAGATTGCAGCAGATAAGATAGAATTAATGGAAAGATAAAATGAGAGAGCCCGCACAGATGGGAGCTCTCGTCGGCGTTCGAAAAGTAAATAAGTGATGACGTGTGACGATCTCCCACGCAAATCCAAGAACGGACGGTCATAGCATAAAATTTAAAGAGCGTGACTTTTACTTTATCTCGCGAGAGACGGGGACAGTTCGCGGGGCGAGCTCGCGAGCGGTCGGCTGAGACGCACGCGAGAGAAAGAGAGAGGGAGAGACAGCAATTTATGGATCCAGGTGGACCTTATCTCCGGATGAGATCTAGAGCGTGCTCGAAAGCAAACGATCCGCGGACGATGAGAATAATATAAACGTTACTCGCCGAGGAGCTCGGGAGGCGTGTCGGCGTTCTAACCAACGCCGCGGATTCCCTCACCTGCATACCCGGCGCTCCGGGATCCACTCCTGAGTCGAGGATCGCGATGATGACACCTCGGCCATCGTACTCGGGATATTTGCCGAGAAATTGAGTGACACCCGTCTCTTTTTTAGGTAGCAGGCCCCAAACAGGAAAGTTACAATCAATGACGTCTGCCATGTTTCGAGTGCCACTGCCACCGTGACTGTAGGAAAACCACTTGAGATGTTTCCTTTGTACTGCCGCAGCCTTATATATCAATCAAAAAATCGGATCTGCGCCTGCGTGCGCGCGAAGCGGATGCGCCAGTTTGGAGGTTATGTTAACGGCGAACGGTCACGGCGCGCGTATCGCACGCGCACGTTCAAGGCCGGCGTATCGGCAACGCCACCGACGAGGTGACACTAAAGACTTTATCTAAAGTCTTATGGGATTTCACGTATGGGAGAATCTCGCTGTTTAATAACCTCCGGCCGATAAATTTGTCGGTAAAAGACAGAGTTCCCCGGGTGGAAATTTTACGCTGAAAATTTTACTGAAATTCTCTCTCCATTCGCTACATTTCATTATCATTTCGTCAATGTACGCAGTTTTCAATTAAATTCAGTAAATTTCAACGGTATACTTTAATTAAACAGTATACTTTAATTTTCCTTATATTCAAATTCTGGTACACTGTGAACTTGATGAACAGTGAAATGAAAGTTATTGAAAAATTATTGAAATATATAAATGTTTTAAAATAAATAAAGTATAATTTTCATCATGAAATTCAATGTAATGCTGTGAAATATAACGAAAATTCAAGTATAATTCTGAAAAGTAGTAAGAGAAGTTTTGAAATATTAGATGTCATAAAATTTACCGAATTAAACTGAAAACTGCATATATTAGTGAAATGTGGCCAATTGAGTGAGTATTTTAGCAAAATATTTTCATCAGAGTTGTGTCGTAAAATTGAAGATTCTCAGTAACAATCAATCTTTTGAAATATTAATTTTACGTAGGTTTTATATTATTATATATTATATTATTTTATATTATAAACATTTTGATAGATTTTACTACTTTTATTTTATTTTTAAATTATTGATAATATAATTACGAACAATACTAATTTCCCTTTTTATCAACACACGACAGCTTCGCCGGCTCTTCTCGCGCGACCGCGACTCACCAGATGGCGACGCTCGTATCCGCTCGCGCGTACGTCAATAACCATACGTCGAGCGCAGGTTAGGGGCACACGGTGTCGACGGTGTCGCGGTGCGTGCGTTGGAGGTTATGTCCCCTCTCGTCTCCGTATTTTGAATAAGTAGCCGAACTGGTAGCCCGATTGCTATCAGGTCTGCCGCAATATGCGAGACAATGCGATATTCCGGCGATAAGACGCGGCGGCAGTGACGTAAGCGTAATCCAAGTGAGTCATGTGCATACTCAAAGCATGGTTGTCACGCAGCGAAAGATGAAGCAGATTGCACTCTTCGCGGTTTGCGTATTGTTAGGTGAGTGTCCGGGAGGGTTGCGACGCGATCCCCGCGTAATCGCGGCCGCCGACACTCGAGAGACTCTCCGCTCCCGAATTCCGCGTTAAATTCGCGGACTTTGAAATTCTTCATATCCTTTCTGCAATTTTGGGATTGGCACGCAAAACGCCGCGCGATACCGCTGCGTCTTGAGAATAATCGTTCATGCGCAACGCGAGATTCTATTATTATCGTTACTGCGGAATGCCAAATTTATATGTTAAAAATAGAGCGATAATGATTTAGTAACCCCCCTCCCCCTTTTCCCTACCTTACTTCCCGCGTACACGTGACGATAAGATTCAAACTTCGGGTTGAACATTACTGCACGCCGAGCGACAGATTTCCACTTATTAATCTTGTATTTTTCTATATATGATTTTTCATCCAGGAAAAATATTTTTATTATATCTCGTACACTTATTGTTTATATTCTTTGGTCGGCTTTTACAAAACGAAGCCGGTTTAATAGCAAAACTGCGCAATGTTTATCACCGCGTCAGTCATATTTCTCTCTCGGAGTCTCGCGTGCGCGCGCGTCTGTTATTATAATTATAAATAATAACTATTGCGAGAAGTTTGCTGTATAACACGTGTATGCAAATAAATTTGTAACATTATTATTTTCTCCCGCTTCTTCCAGTACTCGGCTTCTACAAAACTTTGGTGAACACGGAAGAGGAACATTCTTTCATTCGCGGTCGAATCCACAGATTGGACAAGGTAAACAGAGATAAGGACGGCCTAAATGATAAGAACGTCATCGTGACTCAGAAGATAGGCAATGCCGACGAGGACGACGGGGACATCAAGGACATCGAAGAGGCGAAGATGCGCATCCGCGAGATGGAGGGCAAGCTGCAGCACCTCGAGGCTGCGATCGAGAACAGGGTGTCGAAGGACTTCCCAACGGTGAAGTTCCTGAATTACAAGAACCGAAAACGAATACTGGTGACGGGCGGCGCGGGTTTCGTCGGCTCTCACCTGGTCGATCGTCTGATGCTGGCCGGACACGAAGTCATAGTCGTCGACAATTTTTTCACCGGCAGAAAGCGCAACGTCGAGCACTGGGTCGGTCACGAGAACTTTGAACTGGTGCACCACGACATTGTGAGGCCGCTCTATCTGGAAGTCGACGAGATCTATCATCTCGCCAGCCCGGCCAGCCCGCCGCACTACATGCTAAATCCCGTGAAAACGATCAAGACGAATACGTTAGGCACTATAAACATGCTGGGTGAGTGACTTCTTCTTCGCGAAGTGCGCTTCGAACAGATATCTGCGCGAGGAGGAATGAAGTTTATTTATTTATTTAAGGAGGTTCATGGTAAACCTATAATATACACATGATATGACAATTGAACTAACAATACGTAACAGAAATTTCAATAATCTTTATCGTTTTCGAGATATTTAATTATAAACTTGTACATATGTAAGAAAAGAAACCTCATCAAATTTCTTCTAATTTGACATACTTAAGTTTAAAAAACCATTATAATATTAAAGATTAATGTACAGATATTGTAGACGAATTTTAGGATTACTGACCGTCCGGTTGAAAAAATACAGTGGTGGAAAGTTTATAATTTATAGCACTATTCAAAATACATACATGTAAGCATATATTTATATACTTCTTGCCATTATCTGTGCATCTCTATTAGATCGACTGATACACAAATATAACATTAATAAGAAAACTAAAAAGTATAATAATATTTTCGTATTTGTAACATTGTGTACATATATTTATCTCAGCTTCGTTCCAAATTAACATTTATTATTTGGTTAGTGAAATAAATATGTATAAAAGAGAAATTTTGTTTAAAAATAGTAAATTTATGAGAGGTCCCCTTGCTGCGCCATTGGAAATACGGCACTTAGCGTTAGAATTTCTATAAAGGAAAAACCTATTTAGAAAAAAAAATACAAGGTAACCTAAATTACCAAAATTAAAAGACTTATGCAACGTTTTAGAATGATAAACAAAGGCATCATGAGACTGTTGTCAACGAAGTAACGCCGATATCACTGATTGCTTAAATAGAATTGTTACGTAATCCTTCGTCGTTGTTTCAGGACTTGCGAAACGAGTGGGCGCGCGAGTGTTGATCGCGAGCACGTCGGAAATTTACGGAGATCCCACCGAGCATCCGCAGGCGGAAACCTACTGGGGTCACGTGAATCCGATTGGTAAGGATTTCGCATCGTTTGTTTCATAAATAACAGAGCAATAAGGACGATTTTTCTCTCGAAGAAATTTTTTTCTCTCTTTTGAAACGAATTTTTCTCCTGAATTATTGGCACTCTAATTACGATTGAATTACACCGATTGCAGGTCCACGGGCATGCTACGACGAAGGCAAACGAGTCGCCGAGACATTGAGTTACGCTTACATGCGACAGGAAGGCGTCTCGGTCCGAGTCGCGCGAATCTTCAACACTTTCGGGCCGAGGATGCACATGAACGACGGTCGCGTTGTGTCGAACTTCATCCTCCAGGCGCTGCAAAATGAATCGATCACGATTTACGGTAGTGGCAAGCAAACGCGATCGTTTCAATACGTCTCCGACCTGGTAGACGGATTAGTCACGTTGATGGCGTCTAATTACACCTTACCCGTGAATATCGGGAACCCCGTGGAGCACACGATCGAAAGTGAGCGTCGCGTACGTTGCGTAGCACGGATTTCCCTCCGACCTATCCTTCCACGAGGTTTTAATGTTTTAACTTTATTTCAGAATTCGCGCGTATAATAAAAGACCTGGTGGGCGCCACCAGCGAAATAGTGGAGCTCGCGGCGGTCGAGGACGACCCGCAGAGAAGAAGACCGGACATCAGCAGAGCCAAGAAGTATTTGAACTGGGAGCCGAAGGTCCCGCTGGCCGAAGGCCTCAAGAAAACGATAATATACTTCGCGAAAGAGTTACGAAGGACAGAACATTCTCAGAAAAGTAGCTTTAAGCAGTCTTCTTACAAAAGCGATCACGACATAGTGGAGCAGCTTTAGGGGAGGTCAAGTGTAACGCGATACGTTATTTGATGTATCCACTTTCAGAAGTGGCGTGAAAGTGCCATTAAGCTATGGACCAGCATGTGCCAAAATATCCCCGTCCAACTTGAATTTTACATAATTTATATACACGGCAATGGGTATACACTTCTTACACAATGCACGGCTACCGATCGGTCTCGAGCCGTTTTTCCTATCGCATACGCGCCGTGTGTTCTTCGTGTAGAAGTCATAATCTGAAGATACATCTCTTTTATTTCTTTCTCCATGACTGTGCACTATTTTTATGCGATTTTGAGATTTCAGATTTTCTATTTATTAGTCCTTTTTTTTCTTGTATGCGCGCGTGCACACACATACACACAAATCTGTAAATAAACGACATCTACTCATCATTTCCCCTGTGCGCACAGATATGTAGAATATTCGTTCTTTTTCATAACACTTGTATGTATAATTTTCGTACGAGCGGGAAGAGTGGAAAAGGATGCTGACGGTATAAATAAGGAAATACTGTCTCGCGCTCATGAGGGATCATGTGTGTTGACTTGAATGTAATTTCGCGCTCGACTTTTCTCTGTAAAAATATTTGGCTACAAAACGTCGTTCGCGCTTTCCATTCGTCTCTTGTAGTCTCGTAATAGCGACATTATCGAGGGCACACTCGCGATTTACAAAGCTCTGAGAAATGTTTATTATTACCCAAGTTACTTAAATGTAGCGAGAACAATGTAATGAGAGGACGGTGAAGTAATGTTTATATAACATATTGCACTTACGTTGTGTACAATATGTTACGTTGTGTAATTGTTATGTTATATATATTTATATGTTATATATATATATATATATATATATATATATATATATA